GAAGATCTACATCTGGATATTGTGTCTCCATTGGTGGTAACTTGATCTCATGGAAAGGTAAGAAACAAAGTGTTGTGGCAAGATCCAGTGCAGAAGCAGAATATAGAGCTATGACCTCAGCTGCTTGTGAACTTGTTTGGCTCAAGCAATTGCTTAGAGAGTTACAATTTGGAGATGTCACTCAAATGACACTTGTGTGTGACAATCAGTCGCTCTTCATATTAGTTCTAATCCTGTCTTTCATGAAAGGACCAAACACATTGAGATTGACTGTCATTTCATTCGAGAAAAGATTATGTCTGGAGATATCAAGACTGAGTTTGTTAACTCAAGTGATCAGTTAGTAGATATTTTCACTAAGTCTTTATGGGGGCCTAGAATTGATTATATTTGTAACAAGCTTGACACATACGATTTGTATGCTCCAGCTTAAGGGGAAGTGTTAGATATTATTTAGATATAATTTGATATTGTTAAGATATTTTTAGATATTGTTAACCACAATATCAAACAATATCTTCTGTTTATTCTGTTTATTTTCGGTTACTCTTTTAGTTGTATCTCTCTATTATAAATAGATTACCCTATGTGTGATTCATACATAAGGGAGATTAATTTCAAACCCTATTTTCTCTATATTCAACAAAAGGGATTCACAAATTGGAATAAGAAAGACTCTCATCTCATGTTGGAGGTCCTAATAGTGCTCATAACATTACTTGGAGGAAGTGTCAAAATTTAATGAATCAAAATCAACATATTGAAGTTGCAATATATTAAGCAATTTGAACAAAATTGTGACTTGTATCGAAGGCATTTGACAACGTCAATTGATTGATTCATTTTCTATTAAAACAACGATTAGATTTTCGTGGTCATGATTAATCAACTCATTCTGTTGACCAAGGTAATTTCCTTGAACTTCTTAAATTTCTTACTGAACATAATGAATCAATAAATCATATTGTCTTGAAAAATGCTCCTGAAAATCATCAATTAATTTCTGCAAAAATCTAAAAGGATATTGTGAATGTTATTGCATTAGAAATCATTAATGCTATTATTACTGATCTTTGAGATGAATTATTTTCTATCCTTGTTGGTGAAGTACGTGACATATCAAACAAGGAGCAAATGGTTGTTGCTTTGCGTTATATTAATAAAAAGGAAATTATTGTTTAGCATTGTTTTAGTATGGTTCATGTTAAATATACTACAACTTTATAATTGAAAATGACAATTGATGAATTATTTTGTAAATATGGGCTCAGTACATCTAGAATTTATGGATAAGGTTATGATGATGCTAGTAACATGTAAGGGAAATTTTACGGTCTCAAAAGTTTGATCTTAAAGGAGAATTCATTTGATTTTTATGTATATTATTTTGCTCATCAATTATAACTCACATTGATATTGCAAAAATTCACATTCAAGTTGTCTCTTTTTTTAATTTGGTGTCCAATTTAGTAAATGTTGTGAGGGGATCTTGCAAACAACATGACATGCTTGGTGAAAAACAAATAAATTATGTTAGAGAGGCAATGGGGAAAGGAGAAATTCCTAGTGAACAAGGTTTTAAATCAAGAAACTAGTCTTGAATGAGTTGTTGATACTCCTCAGGTTCACATTATGCAACTTTGATTAATTTGATATTGATGTATTCTTCTATAATTGATGTTCTTGAAATTATAAAGGAAGGTGGATCAAATGCAGATAAAAAAGCTAAAGCAAATGAATTTTTACATTTTCTAAAGGAATTTGATTTTGCATTCACATTGCATTTGATGAAAAATGTCTAGGGTTTTTAAAATTAATTGTCACAGGCATCGCAAAGAAAAGATCAAGACATAGTCAATGCTATGAACTTGGTTAACATCACAAAACTACGATTGCAAACTATGAGGGATAATGGATGAGAGTCTTTACTGTAGGAAGTAATTTCATTTTGCAATAAGCATTCCATTAACATTCCTAATATGGAAGACATTTTTTTATAAGGGGAGTTCACAATGTGGAGGTACAACTCAAGTTATCACAACTGAGTATCATTATCGTGTTGAATTATTTTATATTGTTCTGGACATGCAACTTTAGAAACTTAATGATCGTTTTATAGAGACAAATACTCAGTTGCTTCTTTGCATGAGATGTTTGAATCCAACCAATTTATTCTTTACTTTTGACAGGGCAAGACTCATTGAATTTGCAAAGTTTTATCCATGTGAATTCTTTACAATTGATTTAGTGATGCTTGATAATCAACTTGAGACTTACATCATTGATATGCGTAGTAATGTAGAATTTTCATCTTTGAAAGAAATCATAAATCTTTTTGAGAAGTTGGTTGAAACTGGAAGACATATTGTTTATCCATTAGTTTACCTTATTTTGAAGTTAACAATGATTTTGCCCATTGCCACAACAACCGTGGATAAAACTTTTCTGCCATGAAAATTATGAAAAATAGGTTGCGTAATCAGATGGGAGATGCATAAATGAATGATTGTCTAGTGACTTATATTGAGAAATATGTGTTCAATAAGATTGACAATAAGTTGAGCATTCAACGATTTTAAAACATGAAATCACGTAGAGGACAACTATAAGGTATGTAATTCATTTGAATAGATACATTGAACTTTATGATTTTGATACTTATGTTTTTATCTTCATATGCATGATGCTAATTATTATTATTATTAATTTATATTATTTGAAAAGTAAAATGTCCCCACTGAGTTAGAGTCTTAGATTTATTATTATCAACAATTATTTTTTTATCCATTCATAATAAAGTTTATCATATAATCAGTAAAAGAAATAGAAGTAATATATTTACTTATAACAGTGATAGTAAGAGAGATGTGAGGTGACAATGACATAGAATAATATTCACAATGTTATATACAATAAAAAAGAATTTCATTTTCATCCTTTTTCACGTTAAGGTAACGTCTAACAATTAGATAATTAGTAATAACTTTATTTAATTGTGGTGATTGAATAATCTTTACAGATTATAAGTTTTGGAGAGAAGAAACTTGAAAAGAAAAAACTTCGAAGATGTTGAGTTTTTTTGGAGAAAAGGAGTTTCAGAATGAAAAAACTCCAAGAGAGGATGATCTTCACAAACACTAAAAAAAATCATCTTGTCGTTAAAGACGTTACCAACAACCTCTAGATTCACGTGTCCTAGCCCTCCCTCACTTTCACCCTCATTTTCACACACTACTCCCCGCCTCACTCACACCTGACTTCCCCTCACTCGGACCCCATTCACACACTACTCCCTCTTGCGACCCATCTCACACGTGCTGCTCCTTCTCCTCACCATGCCAACCACAACGGATCTCGGCCGCGCCACCCCGATCACGGCCCACACACATCATCAACCCGAATCCACCCACCGTGTGGTCAACCACCATGAGCTTCGGTCGCACCACTAACCTCCACCGTCGACATCGCTAAAGCGACGATGCTGCTTGCAGCCAGCCACCATGCACTCTAGTCGCGCGCGTTTCTCTGTGGCACCTCCATCACCTCACCCTAGCCACTCACCCAGCAGCCCTGGTCCCTCTGTGACTCCAATCTCCGCGACCTCCATCTTTGCGCCCACTGCGAGTCCCATCCAACCACTGGAATTGCTGCGCCTCAGCCCCCTCCCCAAACCCACGACCATCATTGCCGTGTGAATCGCATTGTGGTTGTCCGATTTTGTTGGATTAACTGTAGTTAGGTTAGTCATTCTTATTTGGGTATGCTCTACTGCATTGTTAGGTTTGTTTCTGATGATCTTTGTTAGTCTTGTGTTTGTTTTGGTCTAGACCAGGGTTTGTTAAAGGATAACTTGGGTTTTGTTGTCATTGAATAAACGTGTCGTCATAATGAGCTGAAATTGTGGTTTAATTTTGGATTGTTGCAGGACCCTATAGTTCAGATAGGGTTGTTAGGATTGGTCTTGGTCTTTATCCTATGTTGCATCTTAACATTACTGTTGATTTTTCTCTGCGTCTACTGATTAAATTGTTGTATTAGACTTTATTAACATAATGCTCAGCTATTGAGCCATGGAGTTGAAATGTTGTGATTTCTGTGTGTATCAGTTTCATAATGTTTGTTCAGGACTTTTACAGCTATAAGTTGTTTTGAATGGTTTTATTATGTCTATTCTGCAGGTGTTAACATTCTTTGCTGGAGCTCTACTGGAGAAGCAGATAGTTTTTGTCTGTTCTAATTTGGCATGTCTAGCGGCTCAGATAAAATCAACGATGATATTATGAGTATTATTAATTTTCTCTATTCAATTTTGTATTGATGCACCTGAGCACTGATCAATCCCAACACAAGTCTTCAATTCTTTCATATTAAAAATACTGATTGCATATGGAAATGGCCTAAAACCGTGGGGTGAATTTAGAGGAACAGGAACCAACTATGAATATTTTGCTTCACCATGTGTTTCTAATAAGAATTAAAAAATTAATTCTTTAAGGGAAAATTGATACTCCCCAATTTCAAAATAATAATTGAGACTCACTGTTTTAAAAATATCAAATTAATACAAATTTAACAAAAATATCTAATTGTCATTACTTATTTTGTCTTTACACCTTCCTCTACTTCTCATTCCATTATTCTTATATAATTTTGGCTCTCTTTTCCTACTTGTAAAGTAAATAAGCTTCCTTTGAGGCGACGACACTTGTGTTAGCTAAAATTATGTTTTTCTAATAGTTTAGCCAATGGAATCAGATTAATGAGGTAAATTATGATAAGTATTTCATTCTTGTTGATAGGTAAGGCTGATACTCTTTTAATAGCAGAGTAAATGATTTCTACATCACCTTTGATCCCTCGTGGATAAAGAACTAGCTTCATAGGGTGAATATCTCTCAAAATTGTCTAACATTTTTTGCTCTCTTGGATATATTAATCTAATGACACATTGCACTTGTAGAAGTAACTTTCAATGTTAGATTCAGTAATGCCATTGTTGTTCATCCGTTAAGAAGTACAAAATCCAAATCCAACTTTCCATATACAAATTCAGTATAGGCATGATCTATGTCTTGATTTTGCTGTATAGATTCACCAACATTTCCACTGTCCTTTTTGTTAATACTATTTTCTACTTCTACATCATATGGATAACAGTCTTGTTAATTAGTATCAATTCTAATACCCTTAACTAAAGAATTGGACTCCTCACTGCACTCCCTCAACTTCCACTGATCCAGCCCATTCATTTCAATTTCTAATTGTAATTTTATTTCATTGGAATCATACGATTCTGTACTTTTACCACTGTACTGTTTGGAGAGATTATAAGGCTCTTCATCATAAGCATCATAAACCTCAGGGAAAAAGCAGCCTCCTGCTTCATCAATCCAAGCCATTGGTTGTTACAAACCAGTTTTCAAGTACAACTTATACATATGGAAAAAATTGAACACCATATGATACCCATTTAACTCCACCTCCACAACCGACTTCTTCATTTCAAGATATTTCTTAACCAAGTCAAGAATATTGTTAGGAAAGTCCAGCCACTCACCATCCTTATAGAACATCAGTTGTGCTGGTCTCCCACTCTTCTTATAAATTAAAAAGCGGTTATTCAAGGACTACCCAATATGTGAACCAACATTTGCAATCCTTTTGCTATATTCACCCAATTTTATCTGTTTGACAACCCCGTCTGTTGGTTGTGAAGCTCCACATATATGTGCAGCATATTGGGTAACTCCCTTTCTCTTCAATTTGAGTGCAATCCTATCCAATGCCTTTGCGGTTTTCACTTCTGTTAAGGTTCCAACATAAAACCAATTGACAATATGTGGAATAGTCTAACATGTATTTAAACCATACCAAATGATATGAGGTAGGCGATGTAAGACTTTCAACACACTCCCTCCAACGAAGTCTGCCGGACCAGGCAAAGGGTACTTTTGACCCAACTAAAGAGCAACTTTTGGTCCATGACAATAACCGGAAAGATGTTAGGCTTTGACTCTGATACCATGTTAAAGTTCCAACATAAAACCAATTGACAATATGCGGAGTAGCCTAACATGTATTTAAATCATACCAAATGATATGAGGTAGACGATGTGAGACTTTTAACAACTTCCATTTTTGTCTACTAGAAAATTATCGACAAACAAGCTTAAGTATAAAGACTCAGGTCCAGTGCAATAGAACCCTAGACCCTGGGAAGCTTCAAAGAAACTGTGGCGGCAATGCTGAAGACCACAATATCAAGAAAATTGGTGCTCCCTGGATATTTAAAACATTTCAGAATATTGAACTAATACATATGATCATTTTATAAGTTAACAGAGCTAACTCAATAAAGCATTCCCTGCAAAATAAAAAAAGTATTATGAACTTGCACAAGTAAAATATTGCAGAAAGTACTCTCTACTAGTGCGTTGAACTAATAAAATATGCTAATTATATTTGTATTTAAGTTTTGCCCTATTATTTGAATCTTATTTAAACCTGATTTATTGGATATTGTGCATTGGAGATTGTGAAATCCATTTAATAATATGTTTTATAAATTGGAACATTAAAATTAAATTAGAACATTTAATAAGATTGATTTAGATGTATTGATGATTGCAGCTGATAGTAAGTTGTAGTGCCTGTTATTTATTATAAGTTGGGTTTGGTTGTGCTCATCTACGTTTAAGTTTAATCATTTTAGTTTTATTTTGCCTTAGACTCTATTCTCTTAAAAGTTAATTGTATTGAATGGTGTTAATTGTATTGAATGGTGTTAATTGTACAACAGTAAGTGAATAAACAACAATAAGATCATCCATAACACGAGGATAATATATCAGAATATCATTCTCTTCATTATTCTAACTATTAAATGTTATACAAATATTTATAGAATAATATTTCAATTCTACTTGTATGTTGACTCTCTTTTTAGGATTATACATTATGTTTCATAATGTATAAATTACAATACATTTGAATTTACTTGTTATTAAGTTGAGTTAGATTTATGTTTAATTGGATTGTTGAATTGGACTGGATTGAATGTTATTTTACATGTTATATGGGATGAAACAAAAATATAATGACTCTAAAAATAGAGACGATTTTATTGACAAATTTACTGACGGATTATCCGTTGGTAACGCACATAACTGGTAATTATCGATGGATATATCCGTCGATAAGTCATTCGAAAACAGACCACATATCAGAATTTATTGACGGATATATCCGTTGGTAATTACTCAAGACATTTATCGACAAAATTGGACAATCTATCAGTAAATATCATGAGTAATTACCGACAGATATATCCGTCAATAATTACCATGGAAGTATCTGTCGATAATTATTTATGACATTTACCGACGGACTAGCAAAATCCATCGGTAAATCCAATTTTTCTTGTAGTGAAAGGATGATGTTTGAGAGAGTGAAACAACAAAAACAACATAACAAAAAGAATATTTTTTAGGACAATAATAAGAAAATGACAAGACGCGCTGTGATAATATTTTTTAAGGAAACTAATGTAGTATCTAAAAGGAATTATGTGTGAGATATTATATTAATTTTAAAAGGAACTTATGTTATATGTGATATTCTAGATCAGTTCTATTAACAACTGATATAGAAAGTTAGTAAATTATCACAAAATTGTCACCATGTTTATATTTAAGTCGATTATCATATAATTGATATTGATAACACCGTGTAAAAAATGTGATTTTGCATTAGTGGAAGTAAAATACAATATGGTTTGATGTAAATAATATTATTTTAATTTAAAAATATTATTATATATTTTGTTACTTTTAATTAAAAAAACACTAACTTAAAACACACACTTACATAATATTTAAATAAAATATTATTTTAAACATTATATTACTTAAAAATAATTAACAATAAAAAATCTTAAATTAATACTTTTGAATTAGAATGAAAAAAAATCTTCTTATTATAATTTATATATAAAATAAAAAATAAAATTTTAATATAATTTAAATTTTAAAAATATTGTAATTACATCAAAATGGATTTATTAACCCATTTATCTAATATTATAAAGTTATATTCCATTTTTTCAAAATATATAAAAAATTTTGTTAAGAAAAAAATATTTATAAATATATCTCATTTATAAAGTTTAAAACTGTTTTAATTACTTTTTTATTAATTATATTCTTATTTTTCTAATTATATATTTATTTAAAAAATATAAAATTTATTAAAAATAATAAAAATTAATGATTATATTAATGTATCTCCAATCTTAAACATACTATATAATATATTTTAAAATAAAAAAGTTATAATCTATTTTATAATATAAAACATGAAGTGAGGAGAGGAGGCACTACTAGAAAATATACTTTCAACGTCGTCGTTTAACGTCGGTTACATCTTAGCCGACGTTGAACATGCTTTCAACGTTGGTTGGTCAAAAACCGACGTCGAAAGTCGAATTTTGACACATTCTACGTCGTTTTAGCATGCACGACGTGGAAAGTAGGCTTTCAACGTCGGTTATACTCTAACCCGACGTTGAAAACCCTTCTAAACTCATTATGACCGATCAGAATGCAAATATGACCGATCAGAATCAAATGTGAACGATCAGATTTCAATTATGAGCGATCAGAAGTTTTTCAATCGATTAAAAACACGTTTCAATCGATTAAAAACACGTTTCAATCGATTAAAATCTCTTAAAGTGTCAGGATTCTAAGTCAAGTAGGCTTTCAACGTCGGTTATTCCCTAACCCGACGTTGAAAACCCTTCTGAACTCATTATGACCGATCAGATTACAAATATGACCGATCAGAATCAAATGTGATCGATCAGATTTTAGTTATGAGCGATCAGATCAGAAGTTTTTCAATCGATTAAAAACACGTTTCAATCGATTAAAATCTCATACAGGGTCAGGATGATCGATCAGAATCCAGTTATGACCGATCAGAACTATTTTAATCGATTAAATCTCGTTTCAATCGATTGAAATATATGACTGGAGATAAAACGAGTTTCAACGTCGGGTGTGGGTATAACCGACGTTGAAACCCCGTTTTCCCATTATTTTTGTATCTCCCCTTACTCTCCAACATCGCGCCCACTCCCCTTACTCTCCAGCATCGCGACCACCACCTACCACCGTGATTTGGACTCTCCGGACGCCCTCCCTCACGTCGCCACCGCGCACCGCGTGACACCCCCGCCGCAGCACCTCCACCCCACTGCAGCTTCCACCCCACCGCGACGCTAGTCGCCCACCGCGACGCTAGTCGCCACCCTCCACCGCGACGCTAGTCGCCCACCGCGACGCTAGCAGCCTCCACCCACATTGCATTGCATCCTAACGCCACCACCCCATTGAATTGCATTGCAGCCTCCAACCACATTGCATTCTCCGCTCACCACAGCCTCGACCCTAACGCCGCATTGCATCCTCCACCTCCACCCCAGTGTAGCGCTGCTCTGTTTCTCTGTGGTGCGAACCTTCATCGCTGCCTTAAACCACAGGTACGATGTTGTTGCAGTTATATTTGTTGGGCAAAGTCATACAATTTTACTTACTACATTTCATAGGTAGAGATTGTTAGTCATTTGTCGTTAACTTGTTGATTCAATTCTTAGTCATATTATAGTTTTTTTCAATGTATTGATGATGTGTACAATTATACTTGAACTGCTTGAATATGCCCGTGGGGCTTTTTATTGTCAGGTTTCACTGTGTCATTTAAAATTGTTGCCAAAAAACAAAGGAAACTCTGCCGGATTTTTGTTAGAAATTAATCATGAAGTGTGAATTCTGAAAACTACATATAACAATGTAGTTATATAAGTGATGGTAGTAACAATGAAAACTCTATAATTTCAATTTATACAAATTTGGTTTTGACCAAAAAATAGACGAAATTCTGTTGAAATTTCGTTACAAATTAATCTACTTTGGTATAGATTTCATTAGAGATAACGATTATTAGTAATAATCGTTTTATGGGTTTCTCATTTGTAGACTCCAATTCCAAAATGGATCGAAGTTGGGTAAATGCAAGTCGTATTTCACAAGAGTATGAGAATGGAGTTGAAGAATTTTTGCGATTTGCCGAACACAATGGCACCAAGGTTAATGGAAAATTGTATTGTCCATGCGTTAACTGCGTTAATGGGAGAGTACACACACTAGAGACAATACGGGAACATCTTTTATGTGATGGGATAATGAAGAATTATATCCTATGGACATGGCATGGTGAAGTGATTGATACACCAATAGTAACACAAGCTGAGGAAGAGGTGAAATGACATCAGAGGAGGCCCGCTTGATTGCTGAGCGGATTGTAAGTCAAATTAGTTTCTTTCAACCTCATTAACCATGCTTTGTCATTCATCAATTTTTTTTTACAATATATAATGCTCAATTGTAGGATTCTTTAGAGGAGCAGTATAAACAGGGAACATTCGTTCCCCGTGGTCGTGAAGATATATTAACTACTCGCTATTGGACGCCCGGAACACCCAGGGCGTGTTCGTGCTTGTTGGAGCTGGTGTGGGTATTCGAGCATATTTTGGAGCTCCATCATCGGACCATACCCACACAACATCATTGAGCCAGCAGGAGATGGCCGGATTGGAGGAGAGTCTAACAATGAAGCTGAGACCAGCGATGGTTGAAGAGCCGACAGCGACGCCGACACCGGCCATTACCGCACGAGTTCGAGGAGGAGATGATGCGTGTATTTGGTTCAAGTCTAGCATCCATAGGTGTCACACAGCCTACCCACCCACCTATGGATGTTCCTCCTCCATCTCGCCGCACGAGTTAGCACTAAGGGTAGTTGTGCTTGAGCCAAATACTGCCGATCAAGACCTTCCCGCTACTAATCAGGAGGTTGTTGTTGTTGTTGCAGACATCGACCACTCGGGTATGTGTGGATGATATCTTAATGACAAAAATTCATGTGCATATTAAATAATTAATGTCTTATTTTTGTGTAATCGAGTCGAGTGTGAATTTTATGTTGATGAGGATGGATCCGAACCACGATTGGTGGCGGTTGGTTCAATTGAAGAGGGGGCCTCTACAATTCATAGTGTGCCTTTAGCACCTAACTTGGCCAAAGTGGTCATTAAAGAGGTTCGAGATGCTTATGCTCTTGTACCTGTGCCCATAGACGAGGTGATGACGAGTGGGACAGGCCCTCCGGACCTTCATTGCATGGCCTAGACATCTAATCAGGCCTATTTTGAAAAAGGTTTGCATATACTTTCCGTTAATTATCATATGTAGTCCGGTACTGTTTTTTATTATTTCTCAAGTCAATGTTATTTTATGTAGGATGTTCGAAGCCACCCCAGGTTGCCTAAACTGGTTCCTACTTCCCATACTAGTAAAGGTAAGGAAGTAGATGTCCCGTAGAAAATCCAATTTTTCAACTACTATCTCGTTGTCCCACAGCTTGTATATTCAATCTTTTCAAGTGAAGTGGGATGTTGATAAGTTAGGGGTAGACAATAAGAACTTTCCCCTTTACATTGACCACGCCGATCGTCGTGGAGATAACAGTTGGCAATCGGTGTCTAAACATAACAGATGTTACAATTTTGGACAATGTAAGTATTTATTTTTATTTACTAATTATGTTATTTGAAGTTATCGTCATATTTAATGTACATTGAACTGACTACTTTAGGATGATGAATGAATTGTCGGAGGAGCAACGCACCCAAGATGTGTATGGATTTTTTGAGCCCCAATCCATACAAAAATCAGGAAACAAGAGAGAAGAAGTTCAAATATACATCCAAAATTGGATGATGAAGTCAATGAAGAAAGTTTACTTGGGTGCTTACCACCATCAGTAAGTATTTAAGCGTATGAAATTATTCGTATTAAATTTTATAGTGTATTGTATTATCCTAACTTTTTGTAATGTAAGCGTAAATCATTGGTAGTTGTTGGTTGTTTGCCCAAAGCGAGAATGTTGTGGCTTGGTTCCGCTCACTTGGGCAAGAAACCTCGATGCAGATCTTAAAAACATTGTAAACAAGTACACATTCTTATAATAATTTAAACAATTATTAATTGTTTTGTTACTTAATTGTTTCATTATATCTTGTATTGCACGATGCATTTAAGGTTTGCAATACAATTGATGGAGTACACACAAGCAAAAGCACGACTTCAGATTGAATTTTTGTTAATGTAAGTCCTTTTATATTTATGTATTATATCATTCATTTTATATGTCAAATTAATATATTATTTTTTGTAGTGTAATAGGCAACCAGGATCTTATGAGTGCGGATATTATGTTATGCACTCGGATGTGGCTGATTGTTGTTAGCAAGATTGAGGATACATGGAATCGGGTTTGCTTAAATTTAGTATTCAATAAAAGACCCAAGTATTGTGTCATTGGATACTTGTTAAATTATCTTTTTTCTTGTAACAGGTATTTTCAGACAGGGAAGCATTGCCCATAGAGACCATTGACGATATTAGAAACACATGAGCCGATAAGTTTGTTAAAGTTAGAAGTAGGCAAGTTTAGTTATTAATTTAGTACTTAGTTTAGTAGTTAGTTTAGTAGTTAGTTTAGTAGTTAGTTTAGTTGTTAGTTTAGTAGTTAGTTTAGTTACTTTACTAGTTAGTTTACTAGTTAGTTTATTAGTTAGATTAGTAGTTAGTGTATTTGGTAGATAAGTAGTTGGATACACAATAATTTTGGATACAATTTTATTTTTGGATGCACATTCAATTGTTTATATCTTGTACATTGTCTGCCTGGGTTGTATTCAAATTTGCAGGTATGTATATATACAAACATTGGGTACCCTGTATAAACAAAGCGTCCATTTAAAAATAAAAATAGACTTTCTACGTCGGTTCATACCATAACCGACGTAGTAAACCCGTACTCGAGCGACGACTGTACTCGCTTGAGCGACGACAGCTTCAAACAAAGGGGACTCTCGGGTTCCATCTCGCTTGAGCGAAGAGTGGACTCGCTTAAGCGACGAAAGCTTCAAACAAAGGGGACTCTCGGGTTCCATCTCGCTTGAGCGACGAGTGTAATCGCTTAAGCGACGAAAGCTTCAAACAAAGGGGACTCTCGGGTTCCATCTCGCTTGAGCGACGAGTGTACTCGCTTAAGCGACGAAAGCTTCAAACAATGGGGACTCTCGGGTTCTATCTCGCTTGAGCGACGAGTGTACTCGCTTAAGCGACGAAAGCTTCAAACAAAGGGGTCTCTCGGTTCAATTTCGCTTGAGCGACGAGTGTACTCGCTTGAGCGACGAGTATACACTTTCAACGTCGCGTATGAATAACCGACGTTGAAAGCAAAACTTTCAACGTCGGGTATAGAGAACCGACGTTGAAAGTGTATACTTTCAACGTCGCCTGATACAACGTCGGTTGTATAACAGACGTTGAAAGCCTTATATAACCGACGTTGAAAGGCATATCTGTAGCAGTGAGAGTGAGATGAAACTGGCGGCGGATTTTCGTTTTCCAGGTTTTTTTATTCCTCACAAATATCCGCCACATAAGTGTCGAACTAACCTAAATCCTAAGCCTAAGCCTAAACTCTAACCCTAAATCCTAATCAACCCTACACTTTAAACATCAAACTCCTCGTTAATTCCTTCACTCATGTCCAAATCACACCATGGATCTTTGTTTTTCTCAGCATCTTAATGAGTATGTTGTGTGGAATTCATTCCATTTCAAATTCAGCCAATATTTACCTAAAATTCTCTGAAAATTAAAACTATGTAATGAAAAAAAATGTATATATAAAAATTGGATATTTAGGATTTTTTTTTATTGTTTGTATACCTGCCTGACGACTGCAATCAGTGGGTTCGTTATTTGATTGCAGTTGAAAAGGAATTGAAGCGATTGAAAGAAAACAACTCTGATTTTTTTAATGTAAGTGGCTCTTAATTAAAGACTACGTTATTTTGTACGGAGAAAACAATAATTTCATTGGCACCAGAATGGTTCCAAAAAAGTGTCAAATATTCAAAAGAAGAAAATTTGCAGATCATAATGGTTTTATTAGACAACTGATGTTGTATTGGAAGAAAAACATAGTTTTTGTGTTTATCTTGTAAACAATAAAAAAGATGAAGAAAGGGAAATTTTATATCCCTTCTGAATAAAAAACTGTAGTTGTTTAAAACATGAGGGCATGTGAAGAATGAAAAACAAAAAATGTGTCAAAAAATAAATAATGTACGTGTGGGGCAAAATATCTTATCACCATCCATGATTTTATCTAGCAAAATCTAGAGCTTCGTCTTTCATGGGACCCTTCCAAGATTTTCTGTCCCAAAACGTCTCTATATAACATCAAGTTAAGACCCCCCCCCTCTCCCCTTCCCATTGATCAAGTTTTCCTTTGCTCGTTTTCAACCTCTACCCAACTGGATTTCTCAAGGTTCAACTAAATCTTTCAGCCCAAAGTGCTAATCACATTGACCAATTCTTCTTCTACTTGAAGAAATGAAAGATGGTGGTAGAAAACAAGGTGCAATGTCACCATGTGCAGCATGCAAACATCTTCGTAGGAGATGTGCACAGGATTGTGTGTTCGCTCCTTATTTCCCTGCAGATGAGCCCCATAAGTTTGCCAGTGTGCACAAGGTTTTCGGGGCTAGCAATGTCAACAAAATGTTACAGGTTCAGTTCTCAGGCACCCCTTAATATCCTTTCACTATCTGTAATGATATATTTATCATTTTACTACTATTAAGAAAACTTTCCAATCACTTTCATTAGGGTTGGTCAACTTGGATTTGTCTGAACCTTCTTGCAAGTTCTCTGCTTCTGTTAGGAAGATAGGTTATTACACTTTTTAAAGTAGATACACAAATCTGAAATGACTTCATTGTGCAATATCTATGGTACAAAACAATTAGGTACACAGATAAGGAAAAAGAATTGGACAAAGAAGCTGCAGCTTTAGCAAGATATAAACATAATTTACTTGGATTTGGATTCTGTCATTTGAAACAAGACGTTGGACTTTTTGTATTAAGAAGGAAACTGATATGGAATATAAGACCCACTGTGTAGATCTTAGCAACTTTGCCAAAAGAAGCTTATAATTGGGAAGAATCTGATCATCAAGGTTAACACAACATCCACACACAACCACATGCTGATCAGAAAAAGAGAAATAAAAGACAAACATAAGTGCACGCTCACACTCATCAATCAGATTATATTCATGTATTGTATGCAATAATTTCATTCTATAATATATCAGGAGACCATTACTTTGCACTTGCTAGGGTTTTCTTGTTCATCTGCTACTGTCGACACATATCACACTATCAAGAAAATTATTGTTACTCCCACAAAAAAAGGCCTCTATGTTTCTTAACTAGACATGTTCAATTTAACAGAATTTATCATAAAAGAATTTAGGAAAGAAAAGTAGTAAAGAAGTTTTTCTTATTAAAAAAAAATATAATTTATTATTTTTCTCAGAGATAAAAACTTGTAAATTTCCATAATGATCGTTCTTCTTTATTAAAGTAAGGTAAGCGTGATCATAAGCTACACCAGATAAAGCTAAAAAAAGATATGCAGCTAGGTACATATTATATCATTATTAGTATTATTATTGGCCATGTGTTGCAATTTTATTCCTTCTTCTTTATGACAACCAGTTAGCTTCTTTAGTCATGGGCTGGTTTATTAATCAATGTTATTTTAGAAAGAAAGAAAAGAAAGTTTACGTAGTTCATCTTTTTCTCTTTAAAACCACGGGTTCCATTAATAGAGACTGTCTGAAAGTGATGTTGATTTCCCTATATTTCAATTAATAATTAAAATATAATATATTACATATTATTTTGTAAGCATGACATGTGGATGACATATCAGTGTTTCTTTCTTAATATACTGGTGCAAACATGTAAGAACATATCAACTACTTCTTGTTTTATTTTCCCACAACACCACCTTGTTATACATGAACGCTTGTTTTACTAAGCATGGATCTATTTTTGCTCAAAAGGAAGATGATTTTTCATCATGATATCACTCACGAATTAATTCAAAAAACTAGTCTAGACTACGACATATGCATCTAGGTCAAGATAGGGGTAGCTTCCACCTGAATGTTCCTTTTACCTGTAGTGAAGTTACCTATTCAGTGTGACAGGATACTGTTCTTGATGCTGTTCTAACATTGGCAGGAACTTCCAGAGTACCAACGAAGTGATGCTGTTAGTTCAATGGTGTATGAAGCCAATGCAAGAGTGAGGGACCCTGTGTATGGATGTGTGGGAGCCATATCCTCTCTTCAGCAACAAGTTGATGTTTTACGAACCCAGTTGGCACTTGCACAAACAGAGGTTGTGCACATGAGAATGCAGCAGGTATCATCAACTTCCTCTGATAAACTCAAACCAGTTTCTGCAGGCTTCAATTCATCCTCTCAGAACTTGTTATCTTCTCCGTCAAGTAGACTCGCCAAGTCCCTTTTGGCTATGGACATGGTCGTTGATCAGCCAAACAATGGAGAGACCTTGTGGTCATGTTAGCTTAGGTTATTGTTGTTTGAGCGCATAAATAATAAGCATAATCTCACCTAGTATATGTATTGTTGGTTACTTGGAAATGATAATCGGTTTTTAAAACTTGATACTTGAAATTTTTAGTTTAGTAAGAGAGTTTTTAGCATAGTAATAAAGATGAATATTTTATTATTCTATTAGTTTAAAATATGGTTAAAGTTATTTATATAAATAATTTTATTATAATTTTAAACAATTCAAATATATATTTTTATTCTTAAATAATTTTTGCTTACTATTATTTTTATAAATACTCTCTACATTTTTTTTAGGCGAGAAAAAAAATTGGAGAGTGGATTATCTATTTCAATTATTTTATTCTATAATTTATACATAATTATTAATTATTTCATCCAATACCAATTAATAATTGGATATATAAAGGAGAAAATATTAAAATGAAATTTGAGATAAAATAAAATTTTATTATTTAACTAAAATTTCGGTTAATAAGAAAAATACAGATCATAAATATAAAATATTTGACAAATTTATTCAAGTTTAAGTGTTACTTGACATATTGTTTTTAGTTATTTTTTTAAATAGATAAATTTTGTTTATTAAAACACTTTGTATTTTAAAAATAGACAAACTAAATAAAAAAAACACTTATTTAAAAGTTAAGAAAAAAAGTTTTTTTGAAAAAATGTGTAAATTTTTTTTCTTACATTAATGTCATAAAATGATTTTAAATATGTGAATTTAATTATTTCTTTATATCTAAATTTAATATATGACATTTAATTCTTATAGCAAGATAGAATGGGTAGAAATATATTATGTGATTTTAATTATATTTTTATTTAAAAGTAATATTTAATAATAATTTTTTATCATTACAAAATCAAATTAATATTTTCTTATAAAATTTGATAATCAACTAATAATTAAAAAAAAGAATACGACGAACATACTGTGAATTTTTGATTAATTTGTTTTAAACTTTATGACATATGTTGATAGATGAAACATAAAAGAAAGAATAATATATATATTTTTTAAAAATTAAAAAGAAAATTGGCGGTTGTGTTTCGAAGTTTGAATTAATTCATAAAAGTGGGAAAATGACCATAACAAAGAACAAAAGAAAAGGTTACAAATTTTAAAAAAAGGGGAAAAAGCCATTTTGGAGGGAAACAACTCAAAATTAAAACGGAGACAAGGACACGCAAAAAGGCACAAAACAAAACCCTAGTCATATCCTATTATAAGAAAAAGACACACAGTGTCTTGTTTTATTTTTAAATTTAAATTATTTCGCCTTTTCAAATTCAAAATAAAATAACATAAATGTATTATAAAAATATATTATTTAACTTCAGCACATTTTACTAATTCTTCACCTGCTTAACAAAGTCACCACTTCTTTTTCTACAATGTTTATGTTTTGTCAAAAGTTTCTGGAAAACGACGTATTTTTATATCAGTAATATTATCATAAAATATGCAAAAATAAATAAATATACAATAAAATTTAAAATTTAATAATAAAATTTAAAATTTAATAATAAAATGTAAAAAAAAAAAAACTTGAGTAATAAAAGAGTAAAATGTCCTATATATGCTTGGTCTCGTCATGAAGTTAAAAACGTCGTGATATCGATGTCCTTATATAAAATTTCATTATATTTCACAAAATCAAATCTTTTAATTTTTCCAAATTTTTTTTAATAAATTAATTTTAGAAAGTTATCTATTTTTTTTAAGAATTTTTTTAATTTAACATAAATAGAAAGAAATAAGGAAAAAAGGAATAAGGAAATGGAATATAATATTGCTTAGATTATTGTGCAATGACGAGGTTTGGGGCCATGGAGTGAGATTATTTTAGTTTTCCCTCGTTCATTCCCACCTCTGCAACAACAAAGCGAAGCCAACCACCACAACCAAACCCTCTCTCGCGAATTCTCGACAGGGTTGAGTGGCATGTCGCAGGGCACGGGTTCAGTGAGCAATGCGGTGGATTTCGACCTCCCCGACGAGATTCTCGCGGTCATCCCTACCGACCCCTACCAGCAGCTCGATCTGGCTCGCAAGATAACCTCCATGGCCATCGCCTCCCGTGTCTCTTCTCTCGAATCCGACGCCTCTCGCCTCCGCCAGAAGCTTCAAGAGAAGGACCGGATCATCCTCGACCTCGAGGAGCGCCTCTCCTCGCTCACCCGCGCTTGCCACCAATCCGACTCCACCCTCAACAACGCCCTCACCGAAAACGTTCGCTTCTTATCACTTCTCCTTTTTACTTCTCGTATTCATTTTAAAAAAAAATTAATTAGAAATAAATTTGTGGGGATAATTAGGGTCTTAATGTATATAAACCTTTATATTTTGGTTAATTCTTGGTTGTCCGGGATACTGTGTGGATTAACAAAACACAGTAACGCTTATGTATTGCTTTATCATCAAAGTGAATATGTTCATAAGGAATGGTGAAGTGTGTTAGAGTCCTAGGTTGAGCTACTTGATTTAGTAGTCTTGACGCTCTTCCCATCTAATGAACTAGTCTTATGGGTTGTAATCTTCTCTTGTGCTTAAGTCCTAATAATTTGAGCTCTCACAGCAATTTGCATATTTTCTCTCAAATGCTTGTACATGTCATTATGTCCTAAGATGAGTTCGGATAAGATCTTTCAAAATGTATACTAAGTAAAAGCTTGTGAGAGGAAAGGAGTGTGAGTAATATTTACTGTGAAACCAGTTGTAACTATGAAGATTGATATTACTTGAATTTGGTGTGTACTGATTAAGAATTAATCTTTTGTTTTTAAAAGACTGAAAGGGTTAAACATAAAAGCTTATTCGTTCTAAGCGAATTGAACTAAATGCAGCGTGCTTTTGATTTTGAGGCAACAATAATTATTTCAGAAGATTATTCTATTGACATACGTGTGCTTAATGAACAATGATGACTGTCCATTATATAAAATTGGCTTCTTTTGTACTCTCGTGACATATGCATTGAGTGTGTTTGTAAGGATTGAGAAGAGTGGAGGTGGATGAATGGGGGGAATGAATGCAGTAGATGTGGGAATTGGTTATTGCAGATTGTTGGTACTGGTTGGATGTCGATAATTGTTGTGTTTGGTTGTTTTTCAATGAAAGGGAAAAAATTCTTTCTTTTCTAATATTCTAGTGGCAATCTTTACCGATTGATGTCAGATAATATATTTTTAAAGAACTAAATATAAGGTGAGGGGAAGAGAGGATGGATGAGAAGCTTGGGATTTGCGCAATTGCTTATAGAGAATTTGAGTTTCAATATTTTGCACAAGTTGATAAGATAATGTTATTTAGAGTTGGTGAGTAATTGTGTGTTCTGTTCTTTGGTTGTAGATAAAACTTACGAAGGAGAGAGACCATTTGGCAGCAACAGTGAAGAAACTAAGTCGAGACTTTGCTAAGGTGAATATATGTTTGATTTCTTCATTGTAACTTGTTTTTTTAAGTATTTTCTGTATTTATATTCGTTCTGTCTATGGTCTGCTTAAATTTTCAGCTGCTGCCATTGTTTTTGCTAGAACTGCGCTCAGTTTCCTATCCCTTCCTATGTTTTACATTTTTGCAAGACAGTGAAATTTTACTGGGCATTTGTTTCAAGTTATCAACTAAGAAGATAGTTGAACAGTGTTAACTTCTTGGTTGTGATATTACCTGCCTCAGTATTTGTGCCAATTGTACTATTATGTGCAATTTTTTGAAAGGGAAGACTTGGAAAAAGTAGGCAATGATGAAAGGTTAAGAAGTAAAAACAAGACTTACTGGCTATTTTTTTGCAAATCTGGGCTATATACTTTATAAGGGCGGGCTGGTCATTCCAAGAAACTTCTCCAAAATTTCCTTAATCTTAAAATAATTCATGGCTTTGTCATGGAGGACATTCCGGATATTCTTGAACCTACAATTGAATTTCTGGCTATTTTTTAGGAAAGCAATGAAGAAAACTATACAATAGTGTGTACGGGAATGTGAGATATGCCAAAAGAATAAATACCAGGCTCTTAATGGTGTGGGGTTGTTGTAACCACTCCCTATTCTTTTATATACCTGGTCTGGTATTTCTGCAGACTTCGTAGGCGGTTAGCAAAAAAATAAAAAATAAAAAAAAAAGAGGCTGGACACTATTTTTGTGGCTGAATGATAGTTGGTGTTGTACCAAAATTCTGCCCAGCTTAGCCACTTAGGTCAATGTTTCTGTTTGTTTTCTGTTAAGCACCTCAAGTATGTCTCAAGGCACCTATTAATAACTTCAGTTTGCCCATCCCTTTATGGTTGGTATGCTGAACTAAATCTCAATTTTCTACCAGCCAAATTGAAGAGTTCAGTCCAAGAAGAGCCAAGATACATTCTACTTCTATCTGTCACTATGTTGACTGGAAATCCATAAAGCCTTACTGCTTCCCTGAGAAAAGTTTCTGCTTGACTTGGCTCATCTAAGTCACTAGCCAACCTTCCTGCATCTGTCTCTACCTAATAAGTCTTTTCAAAATCTAGAACTGCCAACACGGGTATTGTAGTCATAACTTCCTTTAGTTGTTCAAAGGCCCTTTGAGCTTCTTTCCCCAAACAAAGTTGTTTTTCTTAATTTGTTGGGTTATTTCCCATAATTCTTCACAAACCTTTTGTAGTATCCTGCTAACCCAAGGAACCATCTTAACCCCTTCATACATGGGCCAATTAACATATCTTTCACTTATTTGGGTCAGCTGAAACATTCTTCTCTTGAAACCATGTGTCCCAAGTACACTAACTTTTCTTTTCCACAACAAAACCTTTTCTATCAGCAAACAACTTACGTTCCCTCAAAATATCTCTATCTCTCGCTGCCTGAATAGCCTCCCTTTTTTAAAACAGACGTATTATTTATTAACTCATTTTGGGACAATGGAGGATTTTCAAACTTATCTGTTCAATTCTGTGTACGCATATCCTAATATTTATATATACTGATTTTTTCCAGTACATATATTTGCTTTTGGGTTAAATGATGCTGCTACTTGGAACTATGTCAAATTATGCTTACCCTTCCCTCAATTCTTAAAATTACTCCTACCCTGTGAAGTGAGTGTTGTACTTTAATTCTATTTCATATAAATGAACCTGTTAGTGGCGGTAAGCAACTAAATAAGTTTGTCAGGGTCCTTTCTCTGCTATCCACATATTTCAATATCATGGGCAACTAATTTTGAAGACAATATTACTGATTTTAGGACATAAGCAGTGGCGGATCTTCTTGGGAGCTGAGGGAGGCTGTAGTCCCCCCAAAGTTTTGTAACTCCCATGTAATTTATGATTTTGACCCCCCAAACTTAATGAACATTTAATATATTTACGTGTATATTTACAATTTTATCCTTTCAAGCCCTCCTCAATTTTGTAATTCATATAATTTATGATTTTGTTCCCCTCAAACTTAATGATCATTTAATATATTTAAGTATATATCTACAATTTTATTTTTTTACCCTTTCATCTTTTTTTTCTTTTTATATTTATTTATTATTTATTAATAATATATTGTTTGACCCCCCTAAGATCAATGGTCAAGATCCGCCATTCATAAAGAGAAGAAATGAATTGTAAACTTAAAGAAGACAAGTGCAATTAATTGTTAGGAAATACAAGTATGATTCTAAGTTCCACATTGGATAAGAATGAGAAAATTGAGCAACATATAAGAAAGTATGACAATAACCAAAAGCCTTAAGGTTTTGGGTTGAGAGTGGTGTCAATCCCTTATATGGGTTGAGCTCATGTCTCATTGATGTTGTTCTTCCTTGTGAATTCCCCTCGAAAGACCCATTCTTATCCAATGTGGAATTTAGAATTACACTTGTATTTCCCAACAATATCTCTTGTTGAGTCTTTCGAGGGGGGGTTTACAATGGAGAAACATACCAATGAAACATGAGTTTAATCCACATAAGGGATTGACACCACTCTCAATCTCAAACGTTAATGTATTAGGTTATGGGTGATACTTCCTTATATGTTGCTCAATTTTCTCATTCTTACTCAATGTGTGACTTAATTCACACTTGGATTCCCAACAATCTCCCCCTCAAGTATGAGTCCTCCATATTGGTACATCCCTTCAAGCTTATTAGTGGTCCTTCCATGTACTGCCGTTTACCTTAACGGGACACGCTTACCTGACCCATTCTGTCAGGAAAACTTTTGATACAAAGATCACTCTGACCCACTGCTGATCAACCTTCGGCTTTGATACTACTTCTGAGGGGATTTACAGGGGAGAAAACACAACCAATGAGACATGAGCTTAACCCACATAAGAGATTGATACCGCTCTCAACCCCAAATCTTAAGGCATTAGGTTATGGGTTATACTTTCTTATATGTTGCTTAATACTGCCCATCAACTCTGATACCACTTGTTGGGTCTTTCGAGAGGGGATTTACAGGGGAGAAACACATCAATGAGACATGAGCTCAATCCACATAAGGGATTGACACCACTCTCAACCCCAAACCTTAAGACATTAGGTTATGAGTCATATTTCCTTATATGTTGCTCAATTTTCTCATTCTTACTCAATATGGGACTTAACTCACTTGGATTCCCAACAATCTCCTCCTTAAGTGTGAGTCCTCCACATTGGTACATCCCCTTGAGCTAACTAGTGGTTCTTCCATGTACCGCCGTTCACCGTCAACCCCAAACCTTAAGACATTAGGTTATAAGTCATATTTCCTTATATGTTGCTCAATTTTCTCATTCTTACTCAATATGGAACTTAACTCACACTTGGATTCCCAACAATCTCCTCCTTAAGTGTGAGTCCTCCACATTGGTACATCCCCTCGAGCTCACTAGTGGTCCTTCCATGTACTGCCGTTCACCTTAACGGGATACGCTTACCTGACCTATTCTGTCAGGAAGACTTTTGATACAAAAACCACTCTAACCCATTGCCGATCCACATTGGTACATCTCCTTGAGCTCACTAGTGGTCCTTCCATGTACCGCTGTTCATCTTAATAGGACACGCTTACCTGACTCACTCTATCAGGAAGACTTTCGATACAAAGATCACTTTAACCCACTGCTGATCAACCTTCGGCTTTGATACCACTTGTTGGGTCTTTCAAAGGAGATTCACAGGGGAGAACAACATCAATGAGACATGAACCCAATCCATATAAAGGATTGACACTACTCTTAACCAAAAACCTTAAGGCTTTGGGTTATGGGTTATACTTCTTTATATGTTGCTCAACTTTCTCATTCTTATCCAATGTAGGACTTAGAATCACACTTGTATTTTCTAACATTAACATAGTAAGAAAAGAGCAATTAAAGTAGCTTTAAGGAGGATATTTTTTTTATTTCTATTTTTATGCACTAATAGGTTTAATATATCTTTTACTTTATGTCATCATGTCAATCTCAACGATTGGTGTCTGCAAGTTAGTTTCCATGTATATACAAATTTTCATTTGTTATTTTATTTTACTGCATGTATATTTACATTGTAAGATAAGAGTACATATGTTGACTTGATTGTCAAAATGATATTACTTTATATCTTTTCCCCCTTACTTTTATGTAGACCTGACATCTTTTCCTTTTTCTATGTTCTAGTTGGAGACTTTTAAAAAACAACTGATGCAGTCACTAACTGATGACAATGCATCGGTAAGACATCAGTATATTAACCTAGCTATATTTATAAATTATAGTGATTACACTTGCTTTTGTTGCTGAAAATGACCAGTATTATTTTGTCCTAAACAACTGTCTGTGCTCTTGTTTCAGCATGCTGAAACCATAGATATTGGAACCTGCGATCAATCAGTTCCAAAGGCATATCCTGATAAGGGTATTTTATTATCAATTTTCCACGTATCTCTTCCTACTGATGTGAAATGTCATAAGGGTGTTTGTTGGGAGTTATGTACTAGCATTTCTTTTATGTATTGCTTGCAGATGATGATGGTTATACAGTGCATAATTCATACAATGTCCCCGCTGAATTGGGTAAAACAAATGATGAAGGTAGATGAATTTCCAGAGATAATTGATTCCAAACATGATAGTGTTGTTGTTCAATTATTAGATTTGAAAACTCTTTCTTGATATATTATCATTCATAAAAAATTATGCATGAAAGTAAACTTTAATATATAGCATTGGGAAATGAATTCTCTTCCACTTCCTTGGGTATTATTTGACATCCTTTGGTCATACTTTGTTGGGATGCTTATTTCAAGTTATTGTATAGTGAAGACTGAAAATTATATTATTTAATCAAATCATAAACGTGGAAACAAGCTATTATTGTACTGGAAAATTAAGAGTTTGGACTTTTCTATCTAAAACAATTGATTTTAACTGGAAAAATGTTTTGAAAGTGGATTCAATAAAAGTATAGCTGGAACTATAAATAATAAGGAAAAATTGGCTTGCAAGTGCTTTAAATTTAATATTACATGCATGATAATTCCCTTTGGTTCTTTGACTTTTCGCTCCTACAGCTTCCAGGTATTCAGGGCAAAGGTTTTCTTTGACCCCATATATTACACCACGTCTTACACCTACTGGAACTCCAAAGGTGATTTCAACGGCTGGGTCTCCTAGAGGATATTCTGCTGCTGGATCACCCAAGAACACTTCTGGTGCCACCTCTCCAACAAAACTTCCGTATGATGGGCGAGGATCTCTCTCTTCATGGTATTCATCTAGTCAGCAGTCATCAGCAGCAAATTCTCCACCTCGGGGACGATCACTTCCAGGTTTAGATGATTTGACGTTAATATGTTCTGTTTTTCCCTTCTCACTAATTTTGGTCCGTGAAGTTTGTCATGTTTCTTTGCTCTTAGCCCTTGTACTGCAGTTTTTGATTAAAATGTTATCCATCTTATGCTTCTGGTTACAGCTTTGTTACATCTGAAGGATTAGAAGTGGCTGGTGCTTTTTCAATGTGTTTCATTATTACTATATTCTCAGTTTACTCCTCTGATGTGTAAAAAATTGTTTAGGTCGTACTCCAAAGATTGATGGGAAGGAGTTTTTTCGTCAAGCCAGGTGACTTCTTTCTCCATGCCTTAGTAAACTATGACTTTTCTTCAATTTATTTAAGAAGCTGAGTGAGTTGATTAACGTATCACTATTTTAGGAGTCGTCTTTCATATGAGCAGTTCAGTGCATTTCTTGCCAACATAAAGGAATTAAATGCTCAGAAGCAAACAAGGGAGGTAAATAAATATTGAATATTTGTAATCTTGGATTTAGAACTGAAACTTTTTCCTAATAAGTAATCATTGCTCCACTTTTTCTGTGTTCTTTTAGGAAACTTTAAGAAAAGCAGATGAGATATTTGGATCAGATAACAAAGATCTTTATTTATCTTTCCAAGGATTGCTTAACAGAAATGCACGCCAGTACTGAAAGCAGCGTTGCCGGGTGTTGTATGAGTTGGTATGCAAATCGTTGGTTATAATTTTTGTCCTTGTTTTTCTGTCACTATTTCTGCATCTTTTCTTTTTTGAATTGTGGATGGAGCTGCCTATTTTTTGCACGCTATTAATAAGCGGACAAAATTTATATGCTGTACTAAAGGTACTGCTGGTGCTGTTTTCCAATCGTATAGAGTTTTTTCACGAAGTTTTCATTTTGTTAAATACATTACATATTGTCAACAGGAAACTTCAAATTTGATTAGAGAACATCACCAACCGTAACTGTAGTACAATTACATTACATAAGTTTTGTTAATAGCCTAGTATTTACTGCCTTAAAAAATCCGGCTTTTTGTTATTAGCTGTTTTACTACTTGCTGCCTTTAATCATGGGGATTTCACAAAAATGACCTGATGTATTGAAGTTCATTTCGTGGAATCACTTTAATCACATTTTTCATTCTCAATTTTGGGTTATTTTATGTAGCTGTTAGCGGTCCTACTTTGAGTGATGTGTAAGACTTGATGTGGTATATTAGTCTCAAGACTCTGATAAACATCCAAACACTGAGGAACCCGCTCCCTAAAAGCTAGTTATTAGGCGACAATTAAACACTTAAATATTTCACCAAACATCTGATACTATTCCATCTGAGACTTAAGCATCTCATAATATCCAACCCTATCATAGCAGCAACCTTAAGAGCTCCAACATCTAAGTGGCTTTCTCTATGAATGTTTGGAGGTGTCAACGTTAGGATTTCCACATTGAATGAAATAAAAGACTTGGTGTGGCTTTCCGTTGTCATCATTTTCACGATTAATTGCATTGTCATTAGTTTTCCTCCTAATGATCAATACTAAGCTTCTGATATAATAACCACAATGCCATCTAATGTATTAAGATTGTTCAACTGCATTGATTATTTGTTCAATTGACTGTTTTTCAGGTTACTGACCCAACGTGTGTTTCTTGGACCAATTGAGTCTTTCCGTCCTGATCCCAAATAATCAAATTCTACCAATGAAGCACTAATCTGAGCCATTGAATTCGAGAATATATACTCCATCTAGGCCTTTTCTTTGTGTTTTTACATCCCCCGTTGCTTGTGTGTATATACAAACTCGTGATTTTCTAAATGGCATGCGCATATAGTTAAAATGCTGAATGAATTCTGCAAGATTTTGGTTTATGGAACAAGTGGGGGAATTTGTTAAGGTGAATCTGGCAGTACTCGTCTATGATCTGCAAATACAAATAGCAGCCTGAATGTTGTGTGACCAAAGAAGCAAGATCTGCATAAAATACTTATTGTTATTAATTTTATTACTCACGATTATTTTTAAGATTATTTTAAAAAATGTCTTTTTTTAATAATTATTAGTATTTTTATATTTCTATTTATTTGTATTAATAACAATATTATAAAAAATAGAAGAACCAAAAGGAAAAGTTATAGGACAAGCAAAATACGATGATGTTGTGGAATGAAAATATATTTAAGCTCCAGTTAAAAAAGAGAGATAAATTGATGTATGAATTAAAAAGGTCATAAGAAGTTTGAAGTGAAGCAATTAATTTTGGTAGAAGAAAAGGTGTTCATTTATTCCGAAGCCATGATCTCACGTTTATCTCAGGTAACCCTTTTAACTGCTGTCACCTCTGCATCTGTTCCTACTTTATTTATTCTACCCCACTTCCTCTCTTCAATGTCACTTCCCCCAGTGATTTCATTGCTTCAGACCCAGAAAAAAAGAATCTAAAATAAAATTAATAACGGAAAATTCCCTTGCTACAAAGTTTTCATTGCTAATTTTGTAGAGATAAAAAAAATGTAATTTCGTGTCCTAGCCCTACAATCTCATTTTTTTTAAAATGATTTTCTTTTTATTCGTATATATATATTTTAATCCTTATAACTTTACTTTAATTTTTAAAATATATTTGCTTTTAATTCATAATTAAAAAAAAAAGATTAATTCAAAATGAACAAAGATATTATATATGTAAAATTTTATTAAATATTTAAAATAAATTTGACAGAATCACCAAAACACACAATTGTGACATTTGGAAAATTAATTTCGTAGAATTGAAACAGTGAATCAATTTATACAATTTTAATACTTGATGACGAATGCAATTCAATATAAAATATCCATCTTTTACGAATTTCTATTCTAAGCCAGAAAGTATATTATAAAAAAAGGCTCTGCCATGAACCATGACTCAATATCCTCTTCCTATAGAATAATAAAATTATGTATCTTTCAATAGCAACACGTGAAGCTAATTCCTAAAATTAGTAGTGCTATTAATTTATTACTTGAAATAGAAATACTAAATACGTATAATATTTGATAATTCAACATTTTTAGTTTCAAGATTAAGTTAGTTAATTCTCATAATTCTATAAGCTAATTTAATATAATATTTAATCAATTTTTCACTCTAGTATAGAAATAGTAATATAAATAATAAAACATTTTATTTTGGGTGACTAAGGAAACTTGTGAAAGCTTCAAAAGAAAGGCGTAAATCATGTGAAATGTAGCAGATGTACCTGATTGTACATTTAAAAGGACTTTTGCATCTTCATGTATATAATTCTACATTCACATCAACAACTTTTACATCTCCATCTTCCTCCTTCTTCCTCACTCCCATGCATTTATTCTACTAATCAAAATTGATCTCAACTTGCTTGAGTGAGTCTCACAGTTTCTGGAAATATGACCATTTTGGCCTACAAGTTTTTCCTTCTGTCTTTCTTCATTTTGTGTTCAAAGGGATGGAGCCTTGGGGTCATCCCTAGTCATGGTAAGCAATAATATTTACTCTAATGTTGCATAGCTTCATGCACAAATGATTCAATCAAATGTAAGTAAAAAGCTTAAAGACAGTACAATATTTACAATATCATTACAACTCATACTCCTCAATGAACTCTGCATGAGGGTATAGGCATGAACTTGAAGTTTTCCAGAAGGAATGTCCAATATTTTAGTATTAAAGATGCCCTCTAAAATAGATATATTTGTTCATTCTGAAAACGTTGCTGCATAAATGAACTTTTAGTGTAAATAAATGATGTGTTTTTATTTTTATCTCCAGTTAAGTCCTTCAACTTGCAAGAGAAAGCTGCTACTGAAGAGGTTTGTTTGGGAAATCAATTTAGATTTTCCTTTTTCACTTAAAAATGATTATGAAAAAGATTGAACAGACATTCCTTTGTTCAGAAAGAGATTAGAACTCAGAAGTTAACCATGAGACACTCGTTGGAATGAATGACTAATGGTTTTTTTACCTACTTGAAATGTTGTAGGAAGGAGCAAAGAAAGACATGGGAATGGAACTCTACCCTACTGGCTCTGCCTTGCCAGATTGTTCTCATGCATGTGGTTCATGCTTTCCCTGCAAGAGGGTGATAGTAAGCTACAAGTGCATGATTGCCGAGTCTTGCCCTGTAGTTTATAGGTGCATGTGTAAAGGGAAATATTACCATGTACCATCCAATGGTTAAGACCATATATTTGTATGTGGTGTGAATCATTTTCAAATCCTGAAAAAGACCTGTGATAGTGATTTTATCAATTTAGAGTTGCGTAGGTTGGTTAGACTCTAGCTTTACCTCTATTACAGACATGACATCTTTGTCAGCAAAGTATTGAATGTCTTTTGTCAAAAATGAAACATGATCCATGTTATATGGAAATGTTTACTGTTGAACACTGCAGTTTTTGCTGCTATATATAGAAGTACAAAGTTGTAGTTGTTTCCTAAACCAAGTTTAATGTTTACAAGCATGAACGTTATGTTTACATTTAAGGAGCACTTATCTAATCAGGTGAAACACCAAGATTTTAGGGACATTGATATACCCTGTCACTCTTCCCTCCCTTCTGGTTCAAACGAAAGCTGCAAAGAAAATTCATAAGTTGATGAAATTCATCACTTTAATTTAATAATTTACTGATAAAAATTACAAGTAGTTTTATTCAAATATTCTTTTACAAGATTTGTGAAAGACCCAATGCTGTTTTATAGAATATTTCATTGGACATGTGTGAACAGAAAATTGCTAACCATGTTAGGATAATGAGTTATTAAGAAAATATATTATTATTGTTATAAATTAATTTTGTTGGCTTGTTGAGGATAGTTATTTCATATTTAGATTTACATTATTCTTAACAATTAATAATTTAATTACATATAATTTGTTATTGCGCCGCTACTACAAATATTAGAATATTCTTCAATGATGTATAATTTTGTTCATCATTTTTCTTCTTTTTCCCTACAATTAACAACCAGTCCTTGCAACTGTGTTGTAGATGATGAAGGACCGAACTACTTTTCTCATGATTCGCACAATCCAAATAAAAATTTATTCTTAGTCTAAGAGGCCATACTTATCCAAAACAGTAGTTAATTAATCGTTTATCCCAATCAATGTTAGACACATATCTCGTCAAGCTTAGTTCCCGAGTAGAGAAAGGTGCGAGAAATAATTGAGATTAGGAAAAGAAATTGGTGACTCAAATTTATTTTAGTTTGGTTTATACAGGTAAGATTAATCGGTAAATTTATTATCAGATTCATAAAATAATAATTATTTTTTATATAAAAATAAAAATATTATTATTATATATATATATATATATATTATAAATTAATTTGATAATAGATTTTAAGAATAAATATTATAATAAATTTTTAATAATTACTTATTTATAAATTTAATGATTAAGATTATTTTTATTTTAAATTAATAAATTATTAAAAAATAAATAATGATAATAGTAAATGAATTTTTAATTTTTATTTTGAGATTGAGTAAATATATTATTTTATAATTTATATATTAAATAATTATATTTTAAATAAAAACTAATTTTATTAATAAAATTTAAGGTTTTAAAATATATGTTCATTTTTTATTTTCATTCAAATATTTTTTTATTAATTAATTTAGTATAAATATGTTAATATATATTTTTTTAAATAATTATGTCAAAATTAACTTGTTAACCGTTCATCTACATGAGATCATATCAGACTAAAATTTTTAGTCTATTTTAAAGTATAAATAAGCTTGAACTATCAAATTTTTTTTCCTTACTAAGACTTTTTTGAAAACTCTAGATCTTTCTATTAAAAATTGACTATAAAACATTTATCCAACTATATAGACTTTCCTACCTTAACTTATAAGTTACATTTTTTTTTAAGATATAAGTATAATTTAATTATTTTTGAAATTTTTAATTTATATAAATAGACATCTAAAGAAAATCTTGAACGTGAAACAAAAGTAAATTTTTTTATCATTTTAACAGTGAAGTTACTTTCTTAAAAAAAAAAATTATAAGATCGAACTTTTTTACACCTTACATCCTTATTTTAAATTATAAATTTCATATCACATTAAGTTTTTAAAATTATTTTCCTCGTATAATTATAATACAAGGTGTAGAAAGAAGTTATGATTTTTTTTTTCTAGATTATTCCACAGTAATTTGTAATTCAAAAGTTCTCTTAATATCTTTCCCATAATACTTATAGAAAATGTAAGAAATTTAAAAGATATTTTTGTTACATGTGAAAATACAAAGTCCTCTTGATTGATGTTGTCATTGGCTCATGACTTGTCCTAATATGAGTGTAGTGGTAACCGAAACTCGTCTAGATTTCCATTACTTACCAAATACTTATGACAATAAGATGATATTTGGAATGACACAATAAAATCAAGGTAAATATCAACCTAATCATGTTATAGGTATTCCATCATCTAGTTTGGATACTAGTTCTTCCATTGCTCTCAATAATGCAAGGAACTTTCAAACGGGCATTTCCTTAATATCAAAATATGGTACTTGGGGATCTATATGATGACACATCACTCTAACCATTTAATTCAAGATCAACATTTTCCGACTCATAGTGTTTATGTAGGTTAGAGAGTGCAAGAATGAATTTTCAAAGATATCATCATACAATTGGTAGTATACACTGTCATAGACTTCTTTGTCTACAATTCTCTCTCTTTTATTATGAAACATAAGCAGAACAAGCGATGAGATGTCACTCTATCAACTTTCATGTTCCACTAAGCAGTCTATCATGTAGAATCCCAACAAATCCTTCAAGTAGTTCTTCAATGCCTATACAAAATCCACAATTTGGAGGGTCACATATACACCAACCTCAATCTCATATAGGAAATATGCATGAGACAACTCTTGATCATCATAGGAATTTAGGCTTAAGCACTAAGAGCATGTCATATGAGACAAATATATTTTTCATGGTTTGATGTTATATTTTCTTATGCATGTGAATTGTTTATGAGGTCTTGCATATAAAAACTTAGTGATTATTGAAAAATGTACTTTGTTAACTTTTTGGAATTGGACAACAGGAACTTCTTACACTAAGCGAGCGGATTGGGAACGTAAGCATTAGTTTGTTACAACAAATGATTGCATGTCAAATGAAGACAAAGACTTATCTACTACCTAATAACATGGATGAGAAAACTTCCAAGGAACATGAAACTGATATTTGCGTAATATGTCAGGTATAAATTTTAGCAACACGTATAACTATATTAACATTTCTAATTCTTTTATTAATTCTAATACTTGTGCATGACCATAGGATGAATATAAAAACAAAGAAGAGATTTGAATTCTTCAATGCAGACATGAATATCACAAAGATTATATATAAAAATGGTTACAAGAAAAAAAATACTTGTCTTATTTGCAAATCGAGATCATTGACTCTCAAATAATGTTGGATTAAGCTCTGAACTCGTGCTCTTAGATAACAACTTTGATGTATTGATTGATCGCAAGCACATGTTTGTGCTTTTAATTGAACTCTTTTGTGCCATTTATATGATCTTAGTGGAACTTTATCGACTGACTTGTGCCCGTGAGTTTTTACTTCTTACAATGAGAGGGTTTTCCCACGTTAAAAATAGTTGAGTCTCTATATGATTAATATTGTCATTTATTATTGTTGTGCTCTTTTTACTACTTTGGAAATTGTTTCTCTATTTGGTAAGCATGTGAATGAAAAATAATTAATGCATTTAGCTATTAAATTTATTCTAGGAAAATGACATAAATTTTCATAGGGAGTCAAAATAGGATTAACCCCATTGGCCGATCTAAAAGACCCGAGCAATATGTCAAGTTAGATAAAAAATTTGTGGATTAAATTAAATTAGACTTATTTTGGCCTAGCCTATGTAAAACATAACTTACATGGGCTTAAGTTAGTTTAGCCCGTTTGCTTAATAGATTAATAATAATTTTTTAAATAAAAATGAAAATAATATTATTTTATTAATATATATATATATATATATATATATATATATATTTATATTTATAATTATAAGTTAACTGAAAACATATTTTAAGAGTAAATATTATAATAAATCTCCAACAATTATTTATTCAAAGATTTAATGATTAAGATTAATTGATATTTTAAATTAATAAATTACTAAAAAATAAATAATGGTAATATAAGTTTTTAATTCTTATTTTGAAATTGAATGGATGTATTATAATTTACATATTAAATTATCATATCTTAAAATAAAAATTAATTTCATTAATAAAATTTAAATATTTAAAATATATTTATTTTTTATTTTCATTTAAATAATTTTTAATTAATTGATTTAGTCTTGATTTGTTAATATTTTTTTAATTTAATTAGGCCAAAATTGACCCGGAAACTCCTTGTTATAACATAAGGTTATAATAGACTAAAATTGTTTGCCTGTTTTAAAATATAGGTAAAAAAGTTATCAAATTTTTTACATGACTCCTAAGGATAGGTTAGACTGAGTTCGATAACCCTGATGGACAACTCTAAAATTTACTATATAGAACATTTATCCAACTGTATAGACTTTCATGTCTTGACTTAGGAAATTACATTATTGTTGTTGTTGTTTTTTTTTTTTTTAAATGATTGAATGCTATATTATTAAGTATAATTTTTTATTTTTGAAATTTTTAATTTATATTTTTGCATATCTTACATCAGATAATTTTATTTTTATGATGTACAGTTCTATAAATAGATATCTAAAGAAATTCATGAACGAGATATTTTTTTATCATTTTAACAATGAAGTTACTTTCTTAAATCTTTTTTAAAAATTTATAAAATCCAACTTTTTTAGCCGCTAAGTCCTTATTTTAAATTATAAATTTTATATATCCTTTTTTAAGAGTGTACAAGTTTTAAAAATTACGTTCATCAGTGTAGAAAGAAGTTATGGAAAAAGTGTTTTTTTTTTTCTAGATTATTCCACTATAATTTGTAATACAAAAGTTGTTTTAATATCTTTTTCATAATACTTTTAGAAAGTGTAAGAAATTTAAAAGATATTTTTGTTATACGTAAAAATGTAAACTCCTCTTTTTTAACCAGGCTATTGGCACATGCTTCGTCATTGTGGTCCATTGTACTTTTTTGAATTTGAAATTA